AGGTGACAGTATACAGTCTTGTTGTACTCCTTTCCCTATTTTGAACCAATCGGTTGTTCCGTGACCTGTTCATGTAGCCTTACAATAAAGTAGAATTAGTTTATCTGGACATGATTCCTGTCTGACTATCTCGCAAGGCTGACATAAATCTTGCAACTCTGAAAGTACCTTTCTCCCCCATCCCCTTTACAGCCCAAGAAACTAGGGAGGGTCCCTTCTGCGACCTTTGCCACATCCACCTTCCTGCTGCAGGCTAAGCTGCCTCTTATCTGACTGTTCCTTTTGCTGTGGCTCTTCCCCATCTCCCAAGGTCATTCCCATATACCATCACACTGCCCACCCTTTATCAAAGTAATAAAACATTCAAAAGTATGAAAAACTCTTTGTTGACCAAAGCAATGGAAAAGCAGTAAGGTGTGGCTAATGGTGACAGAATAGCCATATCCAGCTAATAAAATCCATCTCTCTTGGTTAAATCAACTTTCTGTGCAGTATCAGATTTGCGCTTTTTGAAAAATGTGTTTAAAAACAGGTCTAGCACTTTCAGAAGAGTGCTAAACCCATGTATATTTCACATTAAGATTTGACTAGCATGTCATATTGTTCTGGTAAGGCAGTTGCCTTAGAGGTAACCACATAGCTGGTCTGTCCAAATAAGTTGGAGTGCACATCAGGACAGAACAATGCACAACACAGAGATATATTTTCCACTCCATAATGTAGATTAGGAAAAGATATTTCAACACAGTGCTGGAATCTTGGGAGGAAGAGCTGGGTTTTTCTTAGTCAAGCAAAGAGAAAAGTCAGCTCTAAACCAGGCTATCATTAACTCTTGATACTTATTTTCAGCTTCAAAAGGTAGTAAGCTTCCATGTTATCTGCTTTCTCCAATGAGGATATCCTTTGTTCATTCTGTTTTTAATGAAAATCCAGACAAGATCACCAAAATTGTCTTGTCTTTTAAAAAATATCCAATTTGTGCTTAAATATAATTTCAGCACCAACTTTTTCCAAGTGAATGATCAAAGATGCTATTGAGGGTTCTTCCTGCTCCTGGCCCCAGAATTAGTTATTTCTGCTTGTCATTACTTCTTGTCAACTAATTAAAAGGCAGCTAATGACCAGAGAAACTACCAGGAAATGACTAATTAAAGAAAGCAAATGAGAATCTCAATTAAATATTTTAATCAAGGAAGGGGGGAGAGTAATTCTTAATTACATGGTAGAAAGCCAGAAGCAGGAAGACCACTATTGAACAGGCTACTTCTGAGTAAATGTACATTAACATTGCAGAACTGCTAAAGGGGATATATTCTACACCTTCAATTCTAATTCCACCTGACAGTGGAAAAACAGTGTCTTTAAAACGGAAAATGGCATTAGCAAGAAATCACTCATGGATTAGCTACTTTTCTGTCTTTAACATGGTAAATTAAAGGGATTTAGAACAGCCAATTTCGGAGTCAGAGGCTGATTTTTTGTCAGTGAAGAAAAGCACTGCCTAATGCGGGTTCTTAAGTTAATTAGCCACATAGTATTTTAAAATAATGTTACGGGCCTCCCTTTAAAAAGAAACATAGATGAAATATCGAAACAAGCAAGGAAGCAGATTTACAGTGAAGGGCTGTAATCTTCAAAGCACCCTTTCCTTGTTTCTGAGTTTATTCAACGCTTCCTTTGCGGTGAGAATCACAGGGTTTAGTCTGCTAATGCAAAAGGCCAAGGCAGCCAGTGACCACAATTTGCGATCTGATTTTATATAAACACAGGAGCTAAAAAAGAAAAAGAGCTTGCATTCCAACACTAAAAATAAGTCTGAACACTCACGATATGCATACTGTATCTTCATCTATTCTAGCATGTCAGTTCCTGAGCAGGAATTTAGGAATAAAAATGCTTTTTTTTTTTCCTCCGGGCCTGATCCTGTGGATCAGAGGATCCTAAGGGCTACTGGTTTGCTACAGGCTGGGGAAATATTCTGGGAACAAATCTTCAGGCTTAGATCATGAAAAGGTCTGGGCTGGAGCAGACAAAAAGGCAATCAAGTCCTATGGCTAAATCGACCCATTGTTCGCCTGCAAAGCATTTGTTCCCACCAACAGAATGGGAAGGCAGGAACTCCCTCCCACAATTTTATCCTGGTAACTGGGATTCAGTAGCATGTCCCATTAACTGAGAAGTTTTATTTGGTCAAGAAGCCACTGACTCTTTCCTCCCCTACTTTGGGACAGCCTCTGTGGCTGCACTTAATTTCCCATCCAGAGGTGACTGCAGGGAGGGGTCAAAAACATCAAGATGGGAGCCATAACCTTACAACTAAAGCCTCACTCCCATGTGTGTTCCAAATCACATTTTACCTTTTGAATCCAGATCTCTGTACAGCCCTAAAAGTCAAATTAGCGTGGGGCAAACCTCTGGGGTCAACAGAGGGAACAATTGGAAAAGGGGCAACTGACCAGATTCATACATTGCACTAAACCATGTTTTACTTAATTGTGGTTTGTTGAATTGCCCACACTGGCTGCATTTACTCATCACACTAAGCCATAAATGATATTTTTGAACCACAGAGCTGTGCCTACACACACATGCTATCCCAAATCCAAGCAAATCACATTAGGACCTAGTTCAATGCATAATAGGATTCAGCTTGGTGACTACAGTAAATTCACCCACTGTCTGAATTAAATCTAACCAAGTTTTCTACATCGTGCATCTGCCATTACTAGGTGTTGGTCAAGTCTGTTGTGAACACAGTCTTCAAGTTAAAAATATAACAAAACTCTGCTGGCTTAGAGCAAAGGCTTAATCAAGAATTAAGGAAGACATAGAAATGACTTTTAATTAAACAATTTAGAATTACATTGTTTGTTGTCTAGTTTTGTTCATAGTCCTAGAATTGGACAGAGCGATGCAATCCTTAATTTGAACCCCTTGCTTGGTGCAAGAATACAAATGAAAGTATCTCAGCTCCATGGCTGTCAATTCAACCCATCCAGTCAAGGGGAACCCAGCCACCTAACTAAATGGGTACCAGTGTTGATCCCCTAATCAAAATTACCCACTTTGGTTTTGTTGCAGTATAAAATGGGATGCCTCCCACCAGAATGCAATGCGCCTGCTTTTATTAGAGGTAAGTCCCACTGAGTTCAATGAGATCGCCCAGGAAATATGCCCAGTATAATATCGCATGGCGGTTGCTGGGGATTATGGGCACTGTAGTTCAGCACAGCACCTAATCCACCTTGGCTGATCTTGGAAAGCTAAACAGGGTCAGCCTTAGTTAGTAGCTGGATGGAAATCCCAAAGCTGCAGGATCAGCTAGGTAACAATAACAATAAAAACATCCTGGCAGATGTCAAACCATTTCCATTTTATGGCCAATACAGCTGTGTGGCTGCATCTGTGAAATCATCAGAACTTCAGCTGGTTTGAAGAAGTCTATTTTTTTTAGTGCAATCACAGCTGGAGAGGCTTAGGCTGGGAAAAACTGGTAGGCTGCCTCTGGATTTGGAGGATCCATTTACCTTGCAAAATAATTACATGGTCATGGGAATAAGTCTCACTGAACTCAATGAAGGATCTGTCTGACAAGCCAGTGTGGGTAGTTCCCTGCTAGGAAACGTGGTTAAGGGAGGGTTAGCAAAGCTTTATCAGCTACACTTGCACAGCACACTTAACTTGGTTACTATTTTAACCCATTTCCTGGGTGCGCACGGCAGGCTGAATCGCAAGATAAGGGTAAAGTTTGGGTTTTACCACCCACCCCATCTAATCACTGTTCGCATTAATCAACCTTAGTCCCCTGTCGAAATGCAGCGGCAGGGTTCTTTAACTGATCTGTACAAAAGTCTCGTGCGAATCCAGCCCCGTGGGAAGGACGGAAAGGCTGTTAGAGGCACGTGTCCAAAGAAAGAAACTTCGCAAAATACGAGCCAATTTCGCTTCTTAAGACTGCCCCTTCTCACTAACTCAAAACCCCAGCATCAAA